ATATATATATATATATATATATATATATATATATATATATATATATATATATATATATATATATATAATGATATATAAATGATATATAACGTAATACACCCAGATAGCTACCTGTCTATGAAGTTGCCGTCAAGTTGCTGAGAACTGTTGAAGCAACTGTTTTCGAAAAAGTAGGGGCAAAGTGTTTCTACATTATGTTTGTTGGATTGTACTCACGTGTATCCTTCATGAGTCTACAACAAGTTGACAGCAACATGACGACAACAATTGCTTAAATATGAATGATGTGCATATGATGGCGTATTTTTATCATATGTATATCATACATATTTAAGCAATTGTTGTCGTCATGTTGCTGTCAACTTGCTGTTGACTCATGAAGAATACACATGAACACAATCCAACAAACATAATATAGAACACCTAATCATACAAAGAAATACTGAAAAATTATTAATGATTAAGTGTTACCAGAGTAATTATTTAGTTTAGCGGCCTCACCTCCGATTTCGATGAAAATAGACTCAATCGACGCGTTTTTGCATGTCAAATAACTTTTTCCTCTGACAAAATCGTTGCTTTCTACTGCGAAGTGAGATATTAATAGATAAAGTTGAGGGCGCGTTAGGTTAGAAAATCTGTCACATAAACGTAAAGTACTGACACCAATATGCTCTGTGGCTATGTGCGCATGCTCTGTAGCCACATGAGCATGCGTTTTTTTTAGTTGTCGCTAGTAAAGCTCGAAATTTAAAGTGCAAAAAACATGAAAATGAAGACAATAAGTTGTTATGCATGTTATGTACGCACGCACGTATGCACGATGTTAAATTTATTTGACTTTGTATGTTTAATTAACGACCGTGACAAATTAATAGACTTTTTAATACAACACGGTGTTATTATTATTTAGTCATACCGTCTATCTCGGGAGCGGTGCACTTGGACACGGTGCATTTGGACACAGCCAATCACAGCACCGTGTGATTAGAGACATTTGTAGGGTCCCTTGGAACAGCGACTTGTGATTGGACTGTGTCCAATTGCCCCGTGTCCAACTGATATACACCC